CATCATTACCATAAGCATTGGCAAACATTGACAATTATTGTAATCAACACATCGACCTCTTCCTGAGCAAGTATTATTTGCACTAGATTCAATTTCATAACATGTGAAAGTATTGCAAACCTCTTGTTCATATGGAAGTAGTGGATTGAAAGTGATTGGAGTACTTAATCTTGCTTCTTTCAACGTTACATAACCAGTTTCTGTAGTATAGAACCAAATAGATCCTTGAATATTATCGGCAATCATAAAGTCATAACCATATCTTGCAACAATTGTTCCATGAACATTTCCAGAAAATGTATTGGTTAGTAATTTACCAGTGAAACCGACTCCATAGAAATTAGGGAACCAAAAAACGTTTCTATAAGATGCACATTTCAAATATTTGAAAGTAGCTCCCAAATATTTCAAGTAAGGAACCTTGAAAACAACAGGTTGAGTTCCGACAATGATAAATTGTTGTCCATTAATTGTCCAACCATTTTTGAAACAATACACTCCACCAAATTCAATCACAATTTTTTGACCCATTTCCGTATCTGGCTTGTTGATAATGTAATCACAAGGTAGGTTCTGTAATTCAACTACTTTCTTTGAAAGTTCTTTCATGATTAGTGAACCATTAACGCTTGTAGGAGTTGTAATAATGGCATTTCCTTGAGCAGTGTAGGGATAAACCTTATCTGGATATAATAAGCTTGGAGGATTGATTTTTTGTGAAGGAACAACAATACCAGCAACCAACGGAGCATTTATCTTTGAATTTTTGAGAAGCAAAGGAGGTTGATTACTGACAAGTTTGTAACCGGCAAACACATCATATTCACATTGATTTCCAATAAAACCAGCTCTACATGTACAATTATTATATGCAGAACAAATTCCTCTTCCGCTACAAACTTTTGAAACATTGTTAGATTCAATTCCATAACAGGTTGTAAACTGACAAAATTCACCATAATAATGTGCATTACAAGAACAAGTGTTTGGTGAGAGACATTGACCTCTTCCAAGACCACTACATAAACCAACCAATCCATTACATACCGGAGTATCACAATTAGGTCCGCCATAACCCAGAGTTGAATTACAAGTGCAATTATTGTAAAATTCACATACACCACGTTGACTACAAACAAGTGGTGAAGAGGCAGGTAATCCTGAACAGGAAGTATATTGACACCAAGTACCATTATGACCATAGCTACAAGAACACTTGTCTTGTGAAATACAGCTACCATGTCCACTACATACAGTTGAGTAATTACCAAAGGTTCCATTACAAATGGAAATAGAACAATCTTTTCCATAAGTATTTGGATTACAAACACAAGTGTCAAAATCAACACATTTACCCTTTCCTGCACAAGTAGAATTCTTGTTGGAAGTAATATTGAAGCATGTGAAATAATTACATTTGCTGTCGAGTGTCATTACACTTTGGTCAAATGTATAAGGTACTCCAAATTTAGAATCTTTAAGGTAGGTCTTTCCTTGATAAGTTGGTGAATAGAACCAAAAAGCACCTTGAACATCAGCTGCATTAATCCAATAATCAATGTTTGCACTACTTGTAATTACCGTGCCGTGAATTGTACCTGTAAAATTACTGTAGCCAACTGCATCATTTGGTAGCCAAAATACATTTCTATAAGAAGCACATTCAATATAATTGAAAATAGCACTAGAATATTTGAGATTATTCATTTTGAAAACAACTGGCTCAGTACCAATAATTGTAAAAGTTTGTCCATCAATTGTCCAACTGTTACTAATACAATAAACTCCTCCATTTCTAACTAAGATCTTTCTTCCTAATTCAGTTGTTGGATTTGAAATAGTATATGTGCAAGGCATTGCTGCAAGTTCAGCAATTCTCCTTCCCAAAGAGGTAACTAAATTCTGTCCTGTGGCTGTGGTTGTGGTATTTGTGATTACAGAATTACCACTTGCTGTAAATTTATATTGTCCAGTATAGGTGGTTTCAAATTTGTAACCAGCAAAATAATCCAATTCACAATTAGATCCAAAATATCCTGCCTTACAAGTGCAATTATTATAAGGCCAACATGAACCTCTTCCTGAGCACACTTTTGTGTTATTAGAAAGTATTCCACTACAAGTAGTTACATTACAATTATCTCCATAATAATTCTTTGAACAATTACAGTTATTATAACTTAAACATGATCCTAGACCATTACAAGTTGAAGGACTAGATCCATTCACACCAAAACAGATACCAATTTGGCACCATAATCCAGTGTAACCAGTTGAACATGTACAATTATTATATGGCCAACATTGACCACGTGCAGTACATACAGAACTATTGGTTGATTTGACTGAATTACAATAAGTTTCATTACAGTTTAAACCAAAGTAATTTGTGGTACAGGTACAATTATTAGTATTTTTACAAGTACCCAATCCATTACATGTCAATGATGAATTACTGAACACACCAAAGCATTTAGAAACTGAACAATTGGATCCATAATATCCATCTCTGCAATCACATGTATTGATATTGGAACAGGTACCTCTATTACTACAGCCAAGTGAGCTATTTCTGTTAATACCAAAACAATTATATTCAGCACATGAAACGCCATAATAACCTGTTGTACAATTACAGGTATTGTAAGGCCAACAACGACCACGTGCAGTACAAACCATTGAGGAATTGGATTCAATTCCATAACAATAAGTTTTCTCGCAATTGTCTCCAAAATATAAATCACTACAATTACAAGAATCTGGAAGGTAACAACTACCATGTCCAGAACAAACTTTAGAATTTGTGGCCGTGTAATTGTAACATATTGGTGTTTCACAATCATATCCAGTGTATCCATAAGATAAGTCACAAGTACAATTATTATAGAGTGGACATACACCACGACTATTGCAAACTTCTGGCTCCGTATTATTATAAATATTACAAGTTGTATATTGACACCACTCTCCATAATAGTGAGTATCACATGTGCATACGTCATGATCTGTACACTTTCCGTGTCCACTACAAACACTGGTCAAATTTCCCATGATTCCGTTACACTTGGAAATGGAACAATCTTTACCATATGAAATATCTCTACAAGTGCAAACGTCATAATCTATACAACTTCCTCTTCCTGTACAAACAGTTTCATTATTGGAATAAATATTAAAGCAATTGGTCAAATTAAGGCACTCTTCTGTAATGTATGGTTCATATCTATCAAAAGAATAAGGCTCTTCTAAACTAACATCATAGAATTGAATATATCTACTGTTCACAATTAAACCAGCAAACTTTCCATGGAACTCAAAATAGCCATCCATACCAAAGAAAGTGGCAGATATAGGTGGTAAATTAGATCCATAAGGTCCACCAGTAATTACACTAGTTACTGTGGACCAATAAGAGTACCAACCAGTCCAATCATTCCAACGAGTAACATATATCCTACTCCAAACCATAAATATTAAATTTCTGTACGAAGCACATTCTGCAAATATTATATTTGGATAAATGTATGTCAAGTACCCACTTTGGATAATAAAAATTACAGGCTCTGGGCCAATAATTACAATTTTGTTACTTGGAGAAAGATACATTGAGGAGGATAAGCAAAAAACACCACCATTCCTAACTACAAAGGGATTTTCGATATCATATATCCATTTACAGCTACCCATTTTGTAATTTCTATAAAAGTGTGTGCTTGCCTTTTCATGAATGAGTTGAGTAGAGAGTGCCTCAGTAAAGTTTGCATTACCAACGTAATAAGGTACTCCTTTTGTGGAATCTACTCTATAAAATGGATAGGAGTTAACATTTGCTGCAAATGGCAAATCTTTTTGATAGGAAATTCGTATATTGTCTTTTATGGCAACCCTGTAACCAGCAAAATTGTCATACACGTAATTTTCACACCAGTCACCATCATAATCAAAATCACAAGTGCACTTATCGTAGGCATTACATTTTCCGTGTCCACTACACACATAGGTCAGATTAGAGTTGACTGTTCCATTACACGTGGTGAATTCACAATCAGTTCCCCAATAATGTTCATGGCAGGCACATGTTTCATAAGCTATACAGTCTCCGTGCTTACCAGAACAAACACTTGCTGAGTCGCTTTGAATTCCATTACAACTTGTCAATTGACAATAATTTCCAATATATCCACTTTTGCACGAGCACCAATTATACCCACGACACACTCCATTACCTGAACATGTGTTATTTGACAAACTGGATATACCATTACATCCATAAAGTTCACAATCAGATCCTGAATAACCAAATGCGCAGGTACATGTATTAAATGCTGTACACAAACCATGATTAGAACAAGTTAAAAAGTAATCAGAAGCTCCACCATTACAAGTTGTTTTTTCACAAATAGTTCCATAATAATGCTCTGCACAAGAACAATTATTTGGAGCAATACATTGTCCTCTTGTTTGGGAAGTACATGCTGAGGCATGAGTAGAATAATAGCCATAACAAATAGGTAATTGACAATAGTTTCCAGTATATCCAGATGAAGCACTACATGTACAAGTCTCTAATGGCCAACATTTACCATGTCCATTACAAACATTTGGATCTGTCGAAGGAATATTATTACAGGTAGTTTCTTGACATTGGCTACCTGTGTAATTTGATATACAAGTACAGGTATCGAGTGCTGTACAAGTACCCTTTGATGAACATGCCAATGTAGAATTACTTAAAATTCCAAAACATTTGGTCATGGAACAATCTGAACCAAAATATCCATCTTGGCATTTACAATTATTGTAATCTATACATTCACCATGGGAAGCACAAACTTTTGAATCATCCTTATTAATTCCATAACAATTATAATTGGAACAATCCGATCCATAATATCCAGTTTTACAAGTACAAGTGTCATAAGACGAACAACGTCCATTTCCAGAACAAACACTCGAATCTCCACTCGAAATTCCAAAACAACTTGTAGTTCCACAATAGGTTCCTGAATAATGGTCAGCACATGCACAAGTATTTGGTGCTGTACACTCACCATGCCCAGAACAAACTGATGCACTAGTAGCCAAAACACCACCACACAAGAAAATATCACAATTGTCTCCACCGAAACCTAGGGCAGTATTGCAAGTACATTTGTTAAAGGTTTTACATTGACCTCTTGAGTTACACACATATGGATCAGTACTCTCAATTCCATTACATGAAGTTTCATCACAATAAGTATTATTGTAATGTAAATCACAAGAACATGTATTTGGATTAACACAATCTCCGTGTCCACTACACACAAATGCAGAGCTACTTAGAATACCGTTACATTTGTATAGAGAACAATCAGTTCCGTATGAGTTTGTTTGACAAACACATGTATCTAAATCAGTGCAGGAACCCTTTCCAGAACATACTGAACCATTAGTTGATTTAATATTGTAACAAGTGGTATAATCACAAGAAGATGTTATGTATGGATCAAATGGTGAGAAGGTGGTTGGAGTAGCAAATCTTGCATTAATCAAAGTTGGATTGAACGTGTTAGTATTGGCAACATACCAGGCAGTACCTTGAACACTTCCACCAATACTCAAACTTCCACCTTTGGCTATTACAGTTCCATGAACAGTTCCGTTAAAAGTTGAAGTTGTAGAGTTTACACCATAAGTGAACCAGAAAACATTTCTAAATGACGCACATTCAAGATATGTGAATGAAGGACCAGTGGAAGTGATTGTATTCGCTCTGAAAATTACAGGCTCTGTTCCAATAATAATAAATTGTTGACTTGAAGTCAATGTCCAACTGGATGATTGGAAACAATAAACTCCACCATGTTTGATGACAATTTTAGTCCCAAAATATGTTGCTGGATTAGTTACATTCACAGTACATGCTAATTTTTCTAAAGAATTAACTTGTAACATGGCCTTACTGAGAATCCAACTTCCCATCGTTGAATTAGTATTGGTAATTACTGCATTCTTATTGGATATATAAATGTATTGACCCGAGCTGGCATTCATTGAAGGAATCAACATTGAGGCATTGAGGAGAGCATAATTGGAAGGATTAGTCTTGACCAAAACTGGATTCGTACTAATTAATTTGTATCCTGCAAATATATCGTTTTGAAACATTTCACATGTGGCTCCAGCAAAAAGCTCCTCACAGATACATGTATTAAATGAAATACAACTACCATGCCCATTACAAACGTTTGAGGAATTGGATGGAACTCCACCACAAGTTGTTACTTCGCAAAAATCACCAAAATAATTTGGAACACAAACACAAACTTCAGGGTTAATACATGAACCCAATCCATTACACACATGTGGATCTGTATTGATAGTTCCATTACAACGAGTAAATTCACAATTTCCACCAAATGTACTTGGACTACAAGCACAGCTGTCAAAAGCTAAGCAAGTACCTCTTCCTGAACAAACAGATGAAGAATGGGTTGACACTCCAAAACATTCAAATTCTTCACAAAAAGATCCTAAGTAATAATCCTCACATTGGCAAGTATCAAAGTCAAGACATTGTCCATGTGCTCCACAAGTGAAGGAACTATTTGACGGTACTCCATTACAAGTTGTCAATTGGCATTCCTCTCCCAAATAATTCTCTGTACAATTGCATTCATTCAATTCTGTACAATTTCCTCTTCCACCACAAACACTTTCATTTAGTGCTGAAATACCGAAGCAAGTTGGATATTGACATTTTTCTCCAACGAATTCAATAAGACAATTACATTTGTCTTTAGGAAAACAAGAGCCGTGTCCATTACAAACGGTTTCATTGGTTGACTCAATACCATCACATGTTGTTTCCTGACACATGTAACCAGTGTAATTATTTTGACACACACAAGTATCAACACCAGTACAAATTCCTTTTCCACTACAAACAAATGAAGAGTTAATACTGGAAATACCATAACAAGTTGAAATTTCACAATTAGAACCAGTAAATCCATTATTACATTGACACATGTTGGCATCAATGCATGATCCTCTTCCTGAACAAACTGCAGAGTCATTATTGGTAAAGCCCATACATGTGAAACCATCACATAAAGTTCCCATGTAGCCATCATGACAAACACATGTATCTGTATTCAGACAAGTACCATGACCACCAGAACATACAGAACTATCATTTGAGGCAATACCATAACAAAATGATTTTTCACAAAACTCACCAAAGAATTCAGGAGAGCATAAACAAACATCAGGAGCTGTACAAACACCTCTAGATCCTGTACAAGTTCCAACACCTCCATTACAAACTGGAATATCACAATTTGCTCCTCCATATCCAAATTGGGGATCACATGAACAAGAATCGTGATCCAAACATAAACCTCTGCTATTACAAACTTCTGATTCAGTATTTGGTATTCCAGCACATGTAGTCCACTCACACCAAGTTCCATTATAATTATCACGACAGGAGCAAGTGTCTGTGGCGATACAATCTCCGTGTCCAGTACAAACTCCAAATCCATCTCCAGTAATTCCATTACATGCATAGAATGAACACTCGTCGCCATAAGATTCCTCATTACAGAGACACGTATTATTGGCAACACAAAGTCCTCTTCCATTACAACTGGAATTATCACTCGATATAATTCCAAAACAATAAGTTCTGGCACATTCATCTCTAAAGTATGGCTCCTCCTGATTGAAAGTTATTGGCTCAGTAAATGTTGCCTCAAAAAGCATAATTTGAGAGGATCTTCCCCAATACCATACAGATCCATAAACAATATCAGAAACATCAAAACCTGATTCAATTCCAATAATAGTACCATGAACATTTCCTGAAAATGATGTTCTCTCCACTTGTCCATCATAGGTTATCCAAAATACATTTCTATATGAAGCACATTCCAAATAGTAAAAGGTGGCTTGTGTGTAGACAGCAAATGGTAATTTGAAAACTACAGTCTCAGTTCCAACAATTACAAAAGTATGACCATCAACTCTCCAACCTTGATCCATACAATAGACACCACCATGTTTTACAACAATCAATCGACTCATATCTGTATCTGGATTTGAAATTTGTTGAGTACACGGAAGAGAAAACAATTCAATAACCTTCTTTTCAGTCTCATTGTAGAGTAATCCAGCAAAGTTATTCAAATCATTTGGATCGATTGTGGTAATAGTGGCTTGTCCTTGTGGAATGTAAGCTACTGGTTCGTAGCCATAAATTGAGGAGAGGACTATTTCTGTAGCTGCAATACTGGCTGTTAAATTTACATTTGTCTCTGAATTTTTAGCAATAATCAAATTTGAGCTCGAAACCAGTTTGTAACCAGCGAAAATGTCCTTCTCACATCTATGTCCATTGAATCCAGCTGAGCAAGAGCACAAATCTTGTTGGGAACAACTTCCTCTACCTGAACAAACATTTGGCGTATTCTTTTCCACTCCAAAACATGTTATCGTCGTAGGTTGTGTTGGTTGTGTTGGTATGGTTTGGTTACATGATTCACCTTGATAATTATAGTCACATAAACAAACATCTGGCCCGATACAAATACCATGCCCATTACACACTTGTTGTACCATCTCATTACTTATTCCAAAACACTGTACATATTCACAATTATTGCCCAAAAAGCCAGAATTACATTGGCATTCATCATCGGCTATGCATGTTCCATTTCCTGAACAAACATTCAATGTATCTGATTCGTCAATAAAATTACAAGTAAAACTACAAGTGATTAGATGCATACTAATAAGTAGCATAAAAAGCACCACAATAATAATGCCAACAGTTGTTGTTGATGATGTATAATTTAACATGTGAAATTTCTTAGAGTGGTGATGATGAGAAGGTAGAATTTTCATCATCATGTTTTCTCCTTCCCTTAATGACACCTTCCCTGTTGTTGTTATTGTCATGCTATATTACTACCACTACTTTGAAACTACTACAGGGCTTAATAATTCAAAAGAGAGTAATTTCTCACTAGTCAGACAGAAGATGAGTCTTGTTGTTTTTTCAAATATCTCTATTGAAGTGTAACATCAGTTTCCTTATTATTGTGTTATTAAGGCGCCCACTCGAGCTGTTTTTCCTGGAAGAATTACTTTACAGCCAACAGGAAGAAGGGTTCTCATTGATGAGTTCGGCCTGATATAATTGGTAGTTGTAGTGCAACTCACTGTTTTTAGAGAATCGTAATAGTTTGCAGACAACCCAACAACTCGTTCGTTCAGATAAAATTGGTCGACCTTTTGCCATTACGCAATAATGTGTATGTGCTCCTTTTAAAATTAATTGTTGATAAATCGGAAGGATGAACCGCTTTAAATGTTGAATAATCAAATGTAATTTTAATTAAAAAAATTCATCACTATCATCATTGCCATATTGACAATTAATATTATTATTTAATGAAGAACAAGTCATGGGAAACAAATTTATAGATTTTACGCGGAATTGCTGCTACATGTGATGAAGATTTTTTTGATTGAATATTTATTTAAAACATCAAATGTGTCACATGGTAACCAGGAGTTATTCGAAAGTGAAAAAGATTATTGGCAAAGTTTACAAGTCGTTATTTTGTGGCCCATTAGGAAAAGTTCTCGATCTGATGTGACACTTATTTCACCACACTTTGAGAGTTTACAAATAGACAGAAAGAAATCCATTTGTGGAATAGATTTCATTTTGTCATTTCAAAGGTTCAAGAAAAAGTATATTACATAAAAGATTTTCCTATTTTAAATATCAAGATAAGTTAACTGTTTCATTTCTCTTAAACGTTCAATTATATCCTCACTGATCTCATTGTCAAATACACTCAGATCTATCAAATTCTTCATTTCCAGAATATATTTGGCTCCCACGTCGCTTATCTTATTTTCATTTATGTCAAGGCTGGTTAATTGCTTCATTCCACTTAAGAATTGTACACCTTTGTCACCAATTTCATTTTTAGATATCTCAAGATTAGTTAATTGTTCCATTTCACTTAGATATTTAGCTCCTTCAACATCAATGGTATTGTTATAGACTTCAAGACTTGTTAATTTCATTTGACTGATATGTTTTGCGCCCATCGAATCAATATTATTATCACTAATCATTAGGTCAATTAAATGCTCCATTTTACTGATATATTTTATACCTATTGGTGTAATATTAACACTCGAAATATCAAGTTTAGTCAATTGGTTCATTTCACTTATAAATTGAGCTCCATTATCTCCAATCTCATTGCAAGAAACGTAAAGTTTAAGTAAATTTTTCAATTGACCAATATATTTTACTCCTTCACTTCCAATCTTATTATCACATATGCTAAGATCTGTTAATTGTTTGATTTGGCCAATGTACTTGGCTCCTTCATCCCCAATATTATTTATGTTGATAGAAAGATGAGTTAATTGATTCAATGATGAAATATATTTTGTTCCTTCCACTCCAATGCTACAACAATACATTCCAAGATCTGTTAATTGTTTCATTTCACCAATATACTTGGCTCCCCTCTTATTAATAGAATTACCACTAATATCAAGTGTGCTTACATTCATCAATTCACTAATATACTTGGCTCCCTCCTCATCAATATCATTATGTCGAACATTAAGATTAGTTAATTGTTTCATTTCACTTATAAATTTAGCTCCACCATCACAAATACGGTTTCCAACACAATCAAGGTAAGTCAACTGTTTCAATTAACTAATACACTTTGCTCCATATTCGTTAATATCATTTAAACAGATATCAAGATAAGTTAATTGTTCAAGACCACTAATGTACTTGGCTCCTTCTGGGCCAATATTATTATTAGCAATATGAAGTTGTTTCAATTGCTTCATTTCACCAATATACTTGGCTCCTTCTGTTCCAATATCATTGGAACCAATAGAAAGATTAGCCAATTGCTTCATTTCACCAATGCATTTGGCTCCTTCTGCACTAATATTATTACTCGCTATATCAAGATGAGTTAGTGCTTTCAATAATGTCAAATAACTCAAATTCTCAGTCAATCCAATGTAACAACAAGATATATTGAGATCAGTCAATTGTTTCAGTGAGCCTAAATACTTAATTCCGTTTGGATCAATATTATTATTGTATTCTAAATTGAGTTTTTTCAATCCTTTCATCGAATCCAAAACCTGTAAATTAAATCCAATTTCTTCATTCATTCTCACTCCAAGGTGCAATATTTTCCAAAAATTGACCAACCATTTCCCGATCACCATAATATGATATGGAGAGGTGTTTACAATTATATTTAATGACATTAAACCACTGTTTCGAAACTAATGCACAACTGGTTACAATAAATGTAAAATCATTGTGAAAAGATAAAATTTCAAAAAGTGCATCATCAGAGAATAGGATATTTTCAGTGACTTTTGATGTGATGGAATGGTTTGGTTGTGTGATCATTTTTTTAAAGTTTGCTACACAACAAATTGGTTCTTTTTCAACTGAGTCGTTGCAAATGGTTGGGCATTATTCACATTAAAATTTTCGCTTTATGATGTAATAGACGGGAAGCCTGCCAGGAATATGACGACAATCCCGCTACAGTCTTTGACTGTATGAACAGTGAAGGCAACGAATCTATTGATTGTTGGTTCAGTAAGTTTGTTGTTTATAAAAGCTTGATAATTGTCATATATTTATCAAATTTAAATTTGATGTTTTTAGAAAGAGAAACTTGTGGTTGCGATCAATATCATAATTAAATAATCCATAAGGTAAAATGAAAAAGACTACAGCACCACAGGTTCCCAAGTTGTCTCCAACCTCAGTACTGATGTGGCTCGACGATGCTTAACTTCTCAAATCGGACGGGATGAGGTGCATTCATCGTGATATGGCCGTAGCCATTCAATATCTAAAAATTTCAAATATAAATAATAAAAAGTCTGGAAAGGTTTGCTGGTGGCATCTTATTGGGTGTGAGACTTGTTGAATTTCTTGACAATCTTTTAAAGTGAAACAACAAGATGAATTGTAATGTTAGATAACATCCTATAGATGTATTTATTATTGTCGTGATGAAGATTGATCAAGTAGATGATGAACAGTTAATGTTAGGAAGCATGTAAAAATTCAACTTGACCATCATTACAAATTATTCGAAAAACATTGTCAAAATACATTTTCTGATGTGATACAATAACAAATCTTGTACCTCCTCTTCAAATTGAACAAGTTTTCCAAATGATGTTTTTCACTCTAAGCTGAATACTTTCATCTTCCAACTCTTCATCAACGCTGGATGGAAAGTTTTGAAAGTTTCTGAGGTGATACTAGTAATGATTTAGAACATGTTAATAATATTCTTCTTGTTGTGAATAATGTTCTTCATGATGAAAATATTAAAATTAATAAATTGATGAAAATATTCTTGCTGAAAAACAATTGCATCTATTTGATTGTTATATTCATGTTGAATACTAATAGATGATGTGACTTTTAATTTTCCACTTTAACAAAATTTTCCATCAATTTAATCATTACCTTTTAAAATTTGTATTTCATTGTAAAATCCAATAAAATCAATTCATATACACTCTATATAATCCAATCATGTTGTGTTGAAAATGGTTTTTGAATTTATGAAGAATTGCCTTTGTGAATCATCAATGATGTAAATTATTAAAAGTGATGAAATTTTTCTCAATATTTTTCAACTAATTTTTTCATCAAATTTCACTCATCACTTTTCTTGCAATCAAAAACTCGTCAATAATTTTTTCATCACAGAAAGCAAAAGAATTAATTCACCAACAAAAACATATGTCCTGATAGAAATTATTTATTATTTCCATGGATATTCAATATGAAGATGAATGATTGAATGGAAATGTTCTATACCAACACTCAATGCAATTTATCATGTTTGGATAATTATTCTTCATCACCATCATGAGAATTTAATATTAGAAGAAAGGGTAAAAATTCAACATGCTCTCCTCTTGTTTAATTCACATCAAAATAGTGATTATAAATTATTATTGTTCAATGATTGACTACTAATTGTTGCTGCATTGTTTGATGGTGAATTTTACTTTCTTCTCAAACTCTATTTAGATTCATAGAGACAAGATGAGACTTTCCACAATGATACTATCGATGATTAGCAACATTTTGATATCCGGTGATGAATTTAAATTATGTAACATGATGAAGAAAATAATGAAATTATAATTTTGATGGAAATCTTGTTGCAATAATAACCTCGGATACACTTGAATATCATCTAATCATCCTATTCCATCATAAAAGATGTTATCATTCCATCAAGTAATAATTACAATTTTCAAAATTTAAAAATTGTCTTCAATCTCCTCAATTCACTTTCCAATACACTCATCCATCAAAACCATCCTCATGCCTATCCTCATCTCCACATCCACACAAAATTATTTTCCATAACTCCATCAATTGCTTCCACAATTCATCTCGTCCTATTTTTTACACAATTTAAAATAATAAGTTTTGAAAAATATTTATTTTAATTTATTTACAACTTGAGATAATTTTCTCCAAGATTGAACAATTTATGGTTTTCCTTCTTGTAAGTATTGATTTTGAATTGATAGAATGATGTACCATATTCTAAATCGTTAACCTTAGATGTATACTTAAACTTTTCCTCAGAACATTTCAAAGTGATTGGTTGTTCATTATAACTTGTTATTTGAAAATTATCACCATCTACAAAAATGAATTCCAAGTGGTGGCCTTGTTTAGCTGCCTCTTCTCTCAGGAAAACCTTTTGATCAAAGTTTTTGGAATCATAATCAACCATGTATGAGTAGAGAAATTCATTCATGTAAATTCTCTTTCTTTCCTTATCTATTGAAATGTTTTTGAGTTTTGCACAAGCATCTTCAAAAGAAAGGAATCCAAACCATCCATGTTCTTGAACAAGTGTGTTTACAATCTTTGATTCGTCCAATTTCAAATCACCTAGTGATAGCTTCAAGTTAACAAGAGAGTAAGGATCGCATCTCTTCAACCTAATCTTCTTTGAGAATGTAATTCCATACTTTGTTCTTGGAACCTTATATTTGTAAATTCTTGATCCGATATTTCTTCCCTCCACTTCGAAAATAGTCAATCTATTTGGATCCTTACTTGTATCGAAAATTGAAATGTTAAACTTCTTATTAACTGAGACTTTCAAGTAGAGTGAGTCATTAAAGATACCAGTTAATTGATGGACAAGAACCATCTTATTTTCATCAACATATTTTGTAGGAGTTTTAACTCGAGCAACTAATTCAGAGAATGAAACTTGTGGGATGGCAGAGACAACAATTCCACATTCCTTTGCCTTGTATGGCTTGTTCTTTCCTAAACATTCCAAAACAAACTTCTTTTGATCCCAAAACGTTTCCTTCAATAAAAGAGCTGATGGCAAATAAGCCCTACAAACAAGATCATCCTTACTAAAAGTATCCTTATCCCACACTTCCACGAAAATATCCTTTGATGAATCAACATTAGTAATAAAGAAGGCAAACTTCCATTCGGGATTTGGATTATTATCTATAGACTTGGTTTTAAATTTTTCAATTTTTCCTCCCAACAATGGAACATGAATCACACAATAAGCATCAATTCCTGAAAGAAGGTCAGTCTTTGGTAAATTAAATCCTGAATGAATTTTCAAACTGAGGGTGTATGATGGTGGTGAAGAAGACATTTTTTTGTTGTGTTTTAAGGATTGCTGAACTACAATCGGTTTGAGAGGTGGTTAAAAAATCGTTGTTGCATCGCATCTATTATAGAGGATTCTTCCGAAATAATTTGAGTTGGTATGGTTCGAGAATTTGAAATATTTCAAATTATATGGGTCTATCATGGGTACTATTGCTAGTATTTTAAATTAATAAACAAATATTTAAATTTTGATTAATTTAATATTTAATATTTTAAAAAAAATACCGTGATGACGCATCTTGCAACGTCATTCATCATCATCAGCACTTGATCGTTGAACTCTATTTTGTTGTTAATACTCCTCCATATGAAACTTGAAATTCAAGGAGAAAAACATGTATTTTGGAGAATCGTATCATTGTTTCTTCTCTGAAATTCCTCCAGAAAAGCCTTTTCAAGCTATTGCCTTTTTAGAAGAGTTATTACTTGAACATGTCTTGTCGTGTTTTGATATTGTTTGGTTGCATAGGATCGGAAGGTTGATCAATAGAAATATTAATGAATTTATTTGCAATGGTTTGAGAAATTACGAGTTGAATTTTCCAGACTTTATGGAAGATTCTGATGTTGTCGATTCACCGTATGCTAGTTATAGGAGCAGATATGACAGTCAATCTTTGAAATCATTCATGAACTGTTTCAAGAAGGGATACTTTTCAGGAGTGAGCTCTCTCGTTTTACGTGCAAAAGATATCAAAGCATTACTGAAAGACAATGTGTTGGGTGGCACAAATTTGAAAACAGTTATCATGAGTGGTATTGATGATGCTATATTCTCAAAATGTCTTTCAATTTTTAAAAATTACTCGGGAGGTATTACATCACTTGTATTTGATAATTGTGAGTTTGGAAAGCACTTTGTTCCTACCTTAAATAATGAAATATTCAGAGACTTGACAAGTTTGGAAATTAATAAGTCAATTATTGCAGGAATTCAAAATGATCAAAATATTCATGAAAAATCACTTGTGAAACAACTAGAAAAAGTCACAATCACGCATTGCTTTCCTCAAAAGGAATTTATTATGGGAATGGAAGAATCTAGCGCTGTTTTCAAACTGCTAAACAATGCCATCTTTTCAAATGTGAAATATTTAAATTTGAAAGGGTCTTGTATTAATTCGGAGGTTTTGACCTCTCTTTCAAATAGTGAACATATGACCAAGTTGATTTATTTGAATTTGTCCTCTACCTGCCGAATGGCTTGGGACTGTATTATATTGTCTGCTGGTAGTAGCCTTACCAATCTGAAGGAACTAGCATTGGAGAACAATAACATATCACTTTCAGGAATGTCAACTATACTTAATAGCAAGCAGTTATCAAATCTTAGAAAACTTTCAATTAGTCCTGCTGATTTCCTACTCGACATATATGAAAAGGCCACTCCTAACGCGAATATTGAGACACTTATTCTTTCAAGATCAACATTTAGCTTGGAATTATTCGAGATGATTAATATTAAATCATTGAAGCACCTAGATCTTAGCAGTACCTCTCTCAACGATGGCCATTTACAACTCATTTCATCGAGTATCTATTTATCAAATTTGACAAGTTTAAATTTGGATTATAATAATTTATCTGACACGGGAATTATTGATTTTGCGAATAGTTCAATACTATCTAATCTTGAAATAATAAGTATTAGAGACAATTTAATCATCTTCATTGATCCAATTGAAGTTCTTCAATCAAAGATTCCCTCTCTCAAGAAAATTTTGATCTAGTAATACAATTAAATTATGATTCAATAAAAATAACTAAATCGATAGTTTCAAAATTAACAATGGGTAATCTGATAATGGTTTTGTTTTCAAATTTGTTATTATTATCCAACCAAAATCCAATGTTGTCCTTTGCCCTGTTTAATTGAACATAAATCTTCTTTCCCAAAAATTCAATGTCGTGCGAACTTGTAATATTGTATCTGGCCCTTTCGTCTGCTGTGAAACGTCTCAGAGTAAAACTCACAGTTTCATTCTTGAATGAAATAGTCTTTGGTTTGTAAGCTGCTGTCAATTCAATGTGCACAATATTATTGTTGTCTGCCCATATTAATATTCAATTATTTTTGAGTTACTTACTGAATATTACAGAGTTTGGAAACTTATTATTGACTAGAACATCCAAAATCTTCTTCTTTCCCATTGGTGATAATTCAATTTCATTCAACAAGGTTTCAATACTATTTGGTGAAAGATCATTCATTGTTGTAAATAAATCACCCATTACAAAGCAGCTAGCAATTGCAAGATGAACTGGTTCAATATTTTCAAACTTGAAAAGAAAATATAGTCTCATTAGAATACTCGATTGATTAACTATTTTCAAAATACATGAATCATCTTGTAAATATTTCGATAGTTCTATTAATTTCAATTTCATATCAAAATCATTTGGTATGGCATTATTGGTTAAATATTCCACATAATTCTCAAATATTTGGATGTGATTGGTGTTTTCTTGAGTTTGAAATATTTGATTTTGAACAGATCTCAAATCAAGTACTATACAATTCTGTTCTTTTAGATTAAAATCTTTCCAATTTGAATTCATCATTGTTGTTAAATATTTACATGATTTCAAATATTTGTGTACGATTGTAAAATCTCTCTCTTCAAATCGAATAATTACTTCTTCCATTATTGAATCCTCTTCAATTTCCTTTTCGTCACAAAGCCCTGCTGGTGTAAAATTTTGAATTGCAAATTGATCGTAAGGATCTTCAATAAACGTAAAATTATCAGTATTAAAATATTTTGATTTCCAAAACACTTCTTTTTTGAAATTCTTCTCAATTCCCTTTCCCGTTTCAAATAAAAATCCAACTTTAAATTGTGCAGATGTATTTCCATTTTCAGCAGCTTTTAAATACCATTCTACCGCTTTCGAATAATTTCTTTCCACTCCAAAACCGAAATAATAAGACCGCCCAATATTAAATTGTGCTGTTGAACAACCATTTTCTGCAGCCTTCAAATACCATTCCATAGCTTTAGAGAGATCTCGTTCCACTCCTGTTCCTTTAGAATATAAATTTCCCATACTAACGTATGCTTCCGCACTTCCCTTTTCGACAGCTTTTAAAAACCACTTTAAAGCTTCCACATAATCCTGTTCAACTCCTTTTCCAAAGAAATATAAATATCCAATTTGAACTATTGGTTTAGTAAACCCCATTTCAGCAGCCTTCAAATACCATTCCATAGCTTTCGAATAATCTGTATCCACTTCCAATCCATTCGCATAAAAGTATCCAATTTTATATGTTGATTCCGCACACCCCTGCTCAGCACCTTTCGTAAACCATTCAAAGGCTTTCCCATAATCCTTTTCATCTTTACACTTACAACCTAGGGAATGATAGGATGTACCATCGGAAGAACGAATATCAACACGAATAATTTTTTTACTCTTTGGTTGTACTTTCGGATCATTATCATCATTGGTCTGATCAGAATTTAATTGCTCCTCGTCGATTTCGGAATTGGCAATCTCTTGATGACTTCTTATCATTTTTTTTGATAAAACTGCGTAAATTTTTTTGATAAAACACTACTGCTCATGATGAATGTTCAAGATTCCGAAGCAAACATTTTGTTAGGGTTTGTGCGTAGTGAATAGGAAGTCTGTGATGGTCTTTGTACAAAACTATTGGGAACCCAAATCAAATGTTGTGGGTTGCAGCTTGTTTTGCGTACTGAAGGACAGGAATGGAAATTATTGAGCAAATAGCTACTTGTTTGTTCTGGTTACGTTAATTAAGGTTGTTAATGGATCCTCTCTAATATGCGTTGGCCTTATTAAACAAAATCAAATAAGGAACTGAAGAGTAAGAATGGATAGGGTGATGGGTTTTTAGCTGTGTATAGATTCGATTTAACATCGTCCCTACTTGTGACTTGATTGAAGAAAAAAAATAGATGGCCAAGGCAGAGTTTGTTTTGTGGTTGAGCTTGTTGTTGTGGGCATGTTTTGCTACAACGACATCTCAAGCATATGTCTGTGATAGCCCCACCATGTGTGGAAGCTATTTCAACTATACAGTTTCTAAGGTTTGCGACTATGGTAATTCAGTTTTGCCATGGAACCAAAAGATGGTCATTAGCGATGGTACTTCTTTCAAGGTACTTGATGGCTCTAACTCTATTTCTAGCCTTGGTTCGGTTAGTAATCTCAATTTTGACCAGTTTATTATCAACAAGAATGGAGATGTAATTGTTATGCCTGAGCTTGGGCAAACTGATGTTTTCCTCTTCTCTCTGCATAACTATCAAAGAACTATTCTCGTAGAAACTTCCAAGTGGTCCATGTCAGATTTTGTCAGATCAATCACTTATGATCCAACAACAGACATTCTTTATTTCATTCAAATTCGTGATGGTGATGGTATTAATGGTAAAAGAACAGGTTCTTTCTGTTCATCTGTTAACTATCCTAGTTCATGCATTCAAATCTTTATAAGCCAAACCTCAAATGCAAAGTTGCAATTGTTCAACAACAAATTCTACATGTTATTGGATAACAAAATCAAGATATGGGGAAAAGATGAAAGTGTCTCTTCGGCTACTGATTTCATAACTTTGAGCTCTACTAAATATACCAACTTTAGAGTTTCTCCATCTGGTGTTATTTTCTTGATTACTGATGATGGTGTTTTCAGACTTGTTGGTTCAAAGGAGGTTCGTATATTTGGTACAGGCACTATTGGAGTTACTGGTAATGATGGTCCTGCTCTTTCTGCTGATGCTTCTCCAATTAGTTTGGATTTCGATCAATTTGGTAACATTTATGTAGCTGAAGGAAGTGCTACAAGAAAGTTGACTCCTTCAGGTTGTATGAATCAAGCGTTTATTAATCACACCACATGTGATATTGTTTGTAATGGATTGAGTAGATTGGATGCACATGTTTGTTCTGGTGTTGGTCAATGTAGTGAATTCTTACCACAAAATGGAACCTCACAAAACGAAACTGTTGGTTGTGCGTGTAAGCCTGGAACAAGTGGTATTAATTGTGAAGTTATTCCATGTTTTGGTAAGAATGCTTCTAGTAATGCTTGCTCTGGTCGTGGTGTTTGTATTGATGTGGATATATGTGAATGTGAGGGTGATTGGGATGGACCTGAGTGCGAAATTGCTCCATTCAACTGTTCCAACATTGCTCATAAAAATCCTCTAGCATGTAGCGAGCACGGATTCGAGGTCAAGTGTATTGCACAAGATACATGCGAACACACATGCAATTCTATTGGTGCATCAAGTGCTTCTGTTTGCTCAGGTGTAGGAGAATGTAGCTCACAAAATAATTGTTCATGTTCCTTTGGTTTTATTGGAAATAATTGTGAATTCCTCAAACCGTGTGTATCAAACATGGGTTGTGGTGGAGAGTGTTTTTATTTGAAGGGAGTTGAAACTTGTGTTCACAAATGCAATGGAGTTTACAATTTCAACTCGAGTGTTTGTTCTGGACATGGTGTCTGTGTTGCACAGGACTTTTGTTATTGTGATAAGGCTCACTATGGCTCTGATTGTTCAAAGGCTTATGACACTTGTTATGGATTAGCTTTTTCTGATCCAAAAGTTTGTTCAGGAAAAGGAAAATGTATTTCTCAAAACAATTGTGCATGTGACAGTGGTTATGGAGGTTCTCAATGTGAAAAACGTACTGATATTGATCTTTTCCCACTCTATGGACCTCTTGGTTTGGCTGAACTCAAAGCCTCTGCTTTCGTCTATTCCAATGGTGTTATCTATGCTTCAGCAGTAGCTGACAAGTCAGTTTTTGCTTTTGATTTGGCAACAAGAAATGTCACCACATTTATTTCTAATTTAGATTGCTATCCTTCAATATCCATTTTGTTTAACAAGTTTGGAGATTTGGTGTACTTGTGTGATGGTGATGTCTACAAGTATTCTTTTACTTCTAAAACATCCACTTATCTTGGTACTGTTGGTAGACCTCCTTTAGCTACATCTCTTACATATGTTCCTGAAACTGACACATATTATGTTTCAATGTCAGGGAAAATTGGTAAATTTACTGATTCTGGTAGTCAAATAACTATTCAACCTGAATCAACTGATTATGCTCTTGGATTTTTGCGCTATTTTAATGGTAAATTGTATCATTTGAATTCCGATCTTTACAGTTGGACTCCTGGTCAAGCAAGTGGTGCTACGTTAGTAGCTGAGAGTTGTCCAGGTTCTTATTTCAGATTCAATCCAGCTGGAGAGCTGTACACATATGGTGCACAACAAATTAGCAAATTTTCTGGTGGCAGCTTCTCTCAGGTTGTTTTTGGAGGGGCTGGTTCTGATATTCTTGATATTTTCTTTTATGGAAATGATTTGTATTTCTTTGACAACAAGCTTAAATATATCAATATTGCCCAATTAAAGGGATGTGTTTCTGAAACCTATATTGATCAAGCAACTTGCTCTCTTATTTGTGAGGGTGTTCCAGCAGCTAGTTATTTATCATGTAATGGTGGTAATTGTAGTAGATACACTAATGTAGAATTAAATTTGGAGTTAACACAGTGTTCATGTCTTCCTGGATATAGTGGTTATGATTGCACTGAGTATTCCTGTTATGGAAACAGCTCTTTAAGCTCTGCTGTTTGCAGTGGTCACGGAACATGTGTTAAACCAGATATGTGTTCATGTCAAGATGGATATACTGGAAATATGTGTCAAAATTATACTTGTTATGGAAGTGCTGGTTGTACTATGTTTGGTAATGATGCTAAATGCATTGGACCAAATACTTGTGAACCTATTTGTTCAAAGATTCCAGCTTCCAATGCTAATGTTTGCTCTGGAGAAGGAACATGTGTTTCAATGAACAATTGTTCATGCCATTATGGTAGATATGGGGTTAATTGTGAATTATCAATTCCTTGTGTTAATACAACTTGTGCCTCATCAAATTATGTATGTTTTTACGAACACTCAAAGGAAGTATGTCTTGCAAGTTGTTCAGGTATTCCAAGCACAAGCACATTGGTTTGTTCTGGTAATGGTGTTTGTACTGATAAGTGTTATTGTAATCTTGGATGGAAAGGAAGTAATTGTAATGTAACTGAGCCGGTTTGTTTTGGAATTTCTCAAAGTAATAGCTCTGTATGTTCTGGTTCTGGTAATTGTACAGCAAATAATGTTTGTTCATGTAATGAAGGAGCCTATGGTAGTGAATGCTCAGATTTCAGTTGTTTCTCCATTCTTTCGAATAATGCTTCTGTTTGTTCTGGTCGTGGTGCTTGTGTTGATAATGATGATTGTAGCTGTAATGAAACCTGGACAGGATCAAATTGTGAAATTCCAATTTGTGATGGAATTCCTTCCAATAATGCTAGTGTTTGTAATGGAACAAAGATGTGCATTGCTCCAAACACTTGTGTTGACCAATGTAATGGTATTTCTGCCTTGGATTCAAAAAGAGTTTGTTCAGGAAGAGGAAAGTGTACTGGTTATAATACTTGTACAACATGTACAAATGGATATTCTGGACAATATTGTGAAATTCAAACTCCTTGTTCAACCTTAACTTGTGAAAACAATGGTACATGTTTCCACTATAAGGACGGAAGTGAAACATGTGTTTGTCCTTTAGGATTCAAAGGTAAAACATGTGAAAGAAGACTTTGTGAAACAACTAGTGATTGTCCTATTTATGGAAAGAAATATTGTGGAACTACAAGAGAATCTGAATACGATACCACCGTTACTTCATATAAATGGTGTCGCGAAGATACTTGTTGGCCAAATTATGCTTCACCTTGTACTGATCCAAACTTCCCAAAATGTGTCGATATTGACATCTATGTCACTTACAAAGGTAGATGCGTTGCTGAATGTATGCAAGATAGCCAATGTAGTTCACCAACACCAAAATGTAAAATGAGTGCTGATGGCAGTTACGGAAAATGTGTTCCTGAATGTACATCAAATGAAAATTGTACCTCAATTGGAAAACATTATTGTTCCGATGGTGGCTGTAAAATGTACTCTTGTGCAAATGACACCCAATGTCAAAGTTATGGATATTCTCAATGTAATAATTCAATTTGTAGAAATGAATGTTTGGAAAGTAAGGATTGTCCAGTTGGAAGTAGTAAATACTTTGAGTGTGGTTCTGATAAGACAAATATTGAAACCTATCACAGATGTTTGTACAAGAATTGTAAAAGTAATGCTGATTGTGACTCTCCATTTACTGGAACACCTAAATGTGATCTCACAACCTTTAACTGTTCCAGTGTAAGCTGTTCTGCCACTTCTGATTGTTATCCGTATCATTATTCCAAATGTACTAATATTGGTACTTGTGAAGTTGAATGTACTAATCATACCAATTGTAAAGAATTTGGTTTTGAGAGATGCGGTTCAAATCCAAACAATACTGCTGAATATCGTAAGTGTGTAAAATCCTGTGTTACAGGTAACACTACCCAATGCGATGTTTGTGGTGAAGATAGAATTACTTGTATGAAATGTGCCTCTGGATATGTTTGGGATGGAACCGAATGTGTTGTAAAATGTTCATCCAATTCTTATTGTAAAACTCTCGATCCTGAAAAACCACTCTGTAGCTCAGAAGGTTTATGTGGTTATGTTGCATGTCAATACGATTTTGAATGTACTACTAACTATGCATTACCAAAATGTACGGATGGAAAGTGTAGTATTGTCTGTCACAGTGACAGTGATTGTGCTAGTCAAAAAACTTCTCCAAGATGTCAAACTGATCCGGCTGTATTTTTGTATGGATATTGCGTTGAAGAATGTAGTGAAAATGGAATTTCTGACTATTGTACTAAGAAGAATCCTCTTTTACCAAGTTGTAATTCAGGTAAATGTGGACACCTTAGAGGATGTTGGACTGATGACAGCTGTCAAACTCTATCCAATAATAACAAATATTTAACATCATGCACTTCAGATCCTACCGGAGAGTCATACCAAAAAGTTTGTGTACCTGCTTGTTTTAATAATACTGACTGTGAACAAAGAGGAATCGATAAATCAACAGTTGGTGTTTACCCAACCTGTGAAATACAAATGCAAGGCTAATCTTTGTTCAAGTGATTCGAATTGTACATTGCCAGGAGCAGCAGTTTGTCGTGGTCCAAATGTAGAAATTGCCTTCCCATCCGGATATGTAACATTCCAAGAAAAAACTTGTCTTCCTCAATGTTTTGCCAATTGGGAATGTAGTTCAACTCCTGATCGTCCAAAGTGTTCTACTAAAATGGATTCAACTTATCGTACATGTGTACCGGACTGTTTAACTAATGACGATTGTGTTGAAAAGGGCCTGTCTATTGGAAAAAGTGAATGTGTCAACCAAGTCTGTACTGAAAAAACTTGTTCAGCTGATACAGATTGTACTGTAAAAGGTTTTACTTTCTGTAACAGTGGAAAGAAATGCGGAAGGGAGTGTACAGCTGATACTGATTGTAGCGAACCAAAACCATTTTGCTCCTTAAAGGAAGATATGACAAAGTATCGTTGTCTTCCTGAATGTTACAATAACACTGATTGTGCTCCTAATATTAAGGGAAGCAATTACAATCTCTGTAGTACATCTAAGGGTAGATGTGTTGAGCTACCTTGTTCATCTGATTCTGATTGTATTTATACTGGTTATTCATATTGTAATCCGACCTCAAAAGTTTGTACTAAGGAATGCCTTGCAAATTACATGTGTACTATAGATCCAAAGAAACCAACTTGTGATATGACAACTGGAAGATGTAAACCAGAGTGTGTTTCAGATATTGAATGTGGTACTAATGGAAAGCCTGTTTGTGATATTACAACTCAACATTGTGTCGCCAAAACTTGTTCCAATAGTTCAGAATGTACAAAAACTGGTTATACCTCTTGTACTAATGGTATTTGTGCTCCAGAATGTGTGAATGATCTGGAATGTGTTGGAAAAGGTACTGGAATTTGTGAAACTAAAAGTTCTGAATCAACTTACCATCAATGTACTGCTACACCTTATTCGTGTTCTAGTACTAACTATTGTTACAATACGATAACTGGTTATCCTAAATGTGTGATTCTTATTGTACAAGAGAGTGTTTATATGATTCAGATTGT